TATTTATTAGTAAATTTATAAAACCTTTCTCAACGCTATGTTATTTACTTTGACAATATAGTGGAAGACTATCTTCGAACACGCCCATTTCTTGTATGGTTGGTAGGCGCATATTATTGTGACCAGTTAATAATTTTAATAACTGGTTAAAGTCCGGCGAATGTCTCGTATAAATATTTGGACGTTAATCCCTGAATCGACCAATCGAAAAATATTAAAGGGGTATTCAAAATCGGTTGATGCAAATTTCAAGAGATATGATTGGCTGAAATTTATATCGGATTTTGCATCAAATGCATCAGGTGTAGTTGATGCAAAATTTTTAACGGCCAAATTTGTAAAATCCTTATTTTTAAAAATACGATTTCATAAAAATACATCAAAATATTCATCGTTTTTATTCGTCTTATAACAAGGGAAACCATTGTTAAGTCCGGAGCACAAGTGTAACGAAAGGGACCAATAACGTATTGACTCAAATTTTAAGCGGGCGGACAGCATCATCTTGCAGAAAGCCAATTGATTTCACGCGATAATTGAATCGCTAAACGTATATAGTCCTTCGCTTCGCTCCGGACTAATAAAAAAAATTTTTTTTGTTTTTCAAATCTAAAAAAAATTTTTTAAAATTTACCAAAAAAAAATAAAAGCGTATAATCCAAATTTTAAACTAATAAAATCAATAAATGGAATCAACAAATAAACAACTTCAACTATGTCCCGTTGAATATCATCTCGCGTGTGAGAAAACGCTTTTGCATCTCGTATCGAGAACTAAGGTATAACATTTAAATAATTAAATAATTATTTTTTCGTATTTTGTAGCTTATTTTTAATACTTGTGTTTATTTTCATTATGTTGCGAATTTAGTTGGAGAGAATTCCTCTCAGAAACTCTTACGAAGATTTTATATAAATCTCAATCGGAGGACCGTAGTTAACGACATAGTACAAGCAATTCAGAGCAAGGTGGAGAAGAACTTGTACATCAAATATCAAAATTCGCTCCCACCTTGCTTTGTACTTCCCTCTAGTTGAATAGATTGTCAGAATTTTATCTCTAGACCAAGTGTTTATTATTAAAATAACTTTTTCATAAACTTGTATTTTCCTATTTTACCATCATTTTAAATAATAAAATCCACTTTCCTTCTAGTTGAAGAATAGACCGTCAGAATTTTATCTCTAGACCAAGTGTTTATTATCAAAATAACTTTTTCATAAACTTGTATTTTCCTATTTTACCATCATTTTAAATAATAAAATCACTTAAATTGGTTTAATGTTCGGTAGACGTTGAACTAACAAAATTGAAAGGATTTAGATAAAGATAAGATGAACCTCTAATACCAAAATTAAAATTTAAATGCATATATACAAGTTCTCATTAAAACACTATTATTATGAACCACATTGCAAAAATAATTCCAAGAAGCACAGTCATCCTTAGTTTAATAATTAATCTTGTCGCTTAAATTGAATGCCCAACAAAATCACAGAAACTTTCACAACCAACAGTTGGAAAAGTTGAGCCCAAATATCATGAATGTGCTGATCGGATTCGTTTTTATTAGCTCCAGTAGAGAATTTCGCCAATGAATTCTTTCTGTTTATTTTCTACCAAATTGCGCTACCTTCGAGCTGATTTTTGATTTTTAACTAATACAATACCTAGAGTGATTGGTTATACTGTAAATAAAAAATTTCGACGTAATGTTGAGAGAATAATAACAAATATAAATATAAACATCAATTGCTCCAATTAATTATTTCGGTTTTTTAATCGTATTTGTTTTTTAATTTCCAACATCTAAATAATTAGGAAA